TCAGTGTCCTGCCTTCCCCCAATGCAGTGACCAGCAACCATCCCTACGCTTTCAGAAAGGTAGAAAAAGGGTTGATGTCATTCTACAAATTCCAGATCCATCAACCACTGCCCCCAGTGGTTGTCACTCCAGACCCTGTTCCTTTCAATAATATTTTGGTCCCTTTCTGTGATCCAGCGAGTCAAGGATAACTGGTAGATGGAGCTTGGACAAAGATGGGATGGACAAGGGATGAACATGAAAAGGCAAAGGTTTTACCAAAAGGCTGAGAAGTTGGACAAATTACAGAACTCCTTGTATGCGTTTTAGTGCCAGGTTTACGTTGAAGAATGCTGTGCTGTTACCATGTATCTGTATTGGCAACCCATAATATTTGTCAAGTTGGTTAACATGGCAGTATAAAAACTTACGTTAATAAATAAGTCACAACTTGCTGTGTGACAATCCATATGCATTGAAATGGATTTTTTTTCAAATGTAACACCATATTTAGTGCATAATTTCTCAAAATTCCTAGTCTGGCTCAGTTAGTTAGTATTAATAGCATAGGAAGGTCACTCCCTTCAGCCCCTCCTTTGATTGCTTCTTAAAAGGTAACATGCTATGGTGGTCCCTATTCCAAGCTCTTCATCAAGCATGTTAAGCCTTTAAACTGTATTAGGAAACACTTTGACAAGTCCTGTGGTTCATATAAAATCACTAGTCAGAAGACTTTTAGTAGGTGGGCAGAGTACTTCTGACTCTGTAACCTGCTAAGAGCATGTTCATGTTAAGTGGTTAATCCTGAAAAATGACCCTTAATAAGGTAAGTAGGGGGTCTCATATACAGGTAGATTTAAGGATGATTGCTACCTCATATATGTAACACAAAGCAGTATGCAATGAGAAAAGATAGAAATGCTAGTAATTAATACTACCAATAATGAGGTAGTCATTCCTCTGCTATTATTTTTTTTTCCCTCTTGTGAATATAGTAGCAGGTGGTGGGAATGTCAGAGCACACACTAACTTCTCATTGCATGGTTATTTCTTCAGCTAATGAAGCCTTTCGAGAATACTTTTCAAGCCACTTTTCCAGAATGGAAACCAGTGTTGCAGACTTACTATTATGTTAGCTATACGTGAATTTTTTTTTTTTAAACAAAACCACTGCCCCTCCACAGGGTATTACAAAAATTCTTAGTTTTACTAGTCTATTTAAATACACAGTTTTCAGAGTTCTGAATACTGTGCACCTGTGAAAGGTTATTTTAAGTTAACTTCATACTGCCTGAGAGAGAACAATATGTAACTATTAGTAGGAGCTTTTAACAGGTTAGAAAACTTTTTAACACCCCAAATGTGAACTACTTTGTTATTAACAAGAGGTATTTTGGACTCCTGGATTTGTTTTCTGTCTTTCGCTAATGCTCTGTACAAAGCTGGGCAGGTCTATAAGAAAAATCTGGGGGTAACAGACTCTCTTATCTGTAAGTCAGTTAACAGTCAATGCCTATCTGCCAGAGAGAGGGGAGTATGAGGAACACGGAATGAAGAGAGATGGATCAAAGCCTAAAAATATGTGTCTGATGCCTGTACCTTCTTAAGGACCATCAAGCAAAATAGCCCTTACAGGGGCGAGTAGCAGATGTCTAGGGACATGTATAAAACAAAGACACATGTGTAATGTTAGTTCCCCAGAATATTCTTCCAAGTTCCAACAACTGAGCCAAAATGGTTTTGTATTTAATAGCCCACTAGACTAAAAAAAAAAAGTAGTACTGGAAAGAAAAAGATGACTTCTGGAATCAATGCAAAATTCTTGTCCCATACTACTTTCTGCAATAATGGGAGTAAGAAATACTCTGTTAGGCTACAGTGTGCATGAAAAATCTACCTCCTTTTGCTTTTGGAATGAAAGCCTGATGGGTTTGTTGGAGACCCCACTACTTTTTGTCTGGGAATGATTAGTCTCTCTCTTCCTCATTACCGTCTCTATGTTTTCTTTCCACACTAGAGAGTTGTAATTGTTCTTAACTTCAGATTATGTTAAGATGATCAGGAGGCAAAATTTCTCTCTTCCCTTGCTCCAGCTGATTATCTTCTCTAAGTTATTTTTGGCCTGAAGTTGTTTTCGCTTGGGAAGAGGTTTGTTGTTGAAAGTTTGTAGAAGCCTGCAGAAAGAGCCTTTCTTTCTCATCAGTGCAGGAAGGAAACTCGTTGCAGTACTAATAATGAAACTTGTCTAGGTTTATGACTGAAGATTTCAGAGTTTTAATGAAGCAAAAATATTTACTGAAGGAATTAGTTGTGGGGTTTTTTTAGTTCAGTGAGCCTTTGAAAACATTCCCTCATCTTTCTTTCTGGAGGCCTTCCATATTTTAGACTGCTGCCTAGAATACAAGTATTTTGTTTGAAGAAACTTAAAAGTTATGTTTCTGTCCTGTTGACATAACCTAGTTCTAGTTGTGGAAATAATGATACTTTTTCACTCAATCCTTTGTAACGCCAGAAAATTAATTCTCTGACTATTTGTGAAAGCTGCATAAGATTAGTGCAACTCAGTAATATGCTTGGAGTTAAATGTATTTTCAGGATTTTCTAAATGTATATGCTCATATAATTGTGTATCTTGTACACTTAATGGCATATGTTTAAAATACAGTGTGACCCAATTGCAGTTGCAATAGAAACAATAATAATAGTAATAGAAACCTTAATGTGATGGTGCTTGAGTGGGGTTTTTTTTTGTTAATTTCCTATATTTTATGCTGTTTTCCAGCTTTATTGTTTATGAGAAGGTACGTGGACAGCATGGTCATGGTTGTGCTGGGGACTTCTTGTAGAAGTTGATACTGAGCTTGCTTTAGCAAGTGTTTGGTCCTTTGTGACTTGTCTGCATGGGAAAGCCTGTGTGCTGTAAGTTAGACTGTAAATTTATAGTGCATTTGCTGCTATATAGAAAATTCCATGTAGACTTTTAGCGCATATGGAAAACATTTTCATTCAGCAAGGATTCCTGTGTGATGAAGGTACTGCACTCAGTTATTCTTTGTGTGGTGAGATCATTCACACAGAGGTCAGTACGTAGTAGCAAGTACACTGTGAACTCGTGCTCATAACTTTGCCTGTTTTAATTTTCCCATGTATGCAGGGGAGAGGAAAATGGCTGTCTTTTTTTTTTTTTTTAATCCAGTTTTCAAAACAAGCGGTAGAAAAACTCTTAATGTTGTTTGCACATGCAGGTCTCTAGATGAGCTCAAACCCACACCACACTTAAGCACCTGTTTCTGAAGTAAGTCAGGGAAGCAGGCAGTTTCTTAGTAGGTACATGTATAAATTATGCAACTTGCTGTCATTCCCAGGAGTAAACAGGAAGTTCTCGCAGAGATCCTAATGTTTTTTTCAGAGGTTCATGGTAGATGACACCAAAGCTGTGCTCTTCTCACCTGTGTTGGTAACACATAGATAATCTGCTGATGTGTACAGCATAAAAACTTAAACCCTAAGGTACGATCTGTCCAGAAAGAGCTATTGTGTTGCAGTTGAATAAGGCAGGGTAGTCTGTTGCTACCTGGCCTGTCTCAAATCCATGGAGAAATACAGGACTTTGTTTTCCTGCTTGGGAAGTCTGGCACCTTTTAATGAGCAGTAAACCCACTTTAATATTAAAGCTGGGACGTTTTTATGGTTGAGTGTGTCTTGTGTATTCTTGGGGTGAGAGAATCATGCAGCAGCGCTGAGCTGTTCTGAGACCCAGAGGACAGAGCTGCTCGGTTTTACTTCGCGATTCTCCTGCCTTTAAGAGCGCACAGCGCACTCTTACAACCATAAGACTGTTCCTATCTGTGCATGTAAACACATAAATGAGCTGTTTTATACTGGCAATTAGATACTCCAGAGAGTTGTGAAGCTGTGAGATATTGCTTCACTTAGGGTGGTTGCAGCTACTTGGCCCACAGCCTACGGCTTTGTTGCTTGCAATAGGTGTTAGCAAATGGCAATGCTAATGCACTTAATGATATCATTACTAATCGGCAGCCTGGTCAGAACAATTGACCTTCATTGATCTTGGTATTTCTGCTTTTATTTCTTCCTCTGCCCTTTATGACAAGCTGTGCAAGCTATTTGCCTTTGAAAGGATGTAAGCAGTTATATTGTAACACTTTAATTGTAGTTTGACTGATTTATTTTAATGAACTGTATTATGATTTTTTTTTTAAATCAGTGTGCCATGCCGAATTGAATGCCATCATGAACAAAAACTCAGCTGATGTGAAAGGCTGCAGCATGTATGTTGCCTTATTTCCATGTAATGAATGTGCAAAGCTCATCATCCAGGCAGGTAAGGAGTAGTGCCAGCTTGATTTGTCAGGGTTGCAGTGCTGCCTGCTTGTTGGTTTCTTATCACGGATATATTTGATGTTAAATTGCTGCTGTTAGATCTAAATTAATTGCACTGTCAACTTCATAAGATGCTACTTGTGGGGTTTTTTTGCATCTGAATGGTGCCAAATTTTTCCAGTGCTAATTGCATCTTCTGTGATTCTAAGCGTGCTTCTAATTTAGGTTTGTAACTTCTTAGACCAGGAGCTGCCAAAGAACAACACAGGCTTTGCATATAATTACTGTCAATTTTACTGTGCTCTGACACATTGAATAGAGTAGGGCAGAAAGAAATAAACTTCTGCATGACAAAAGGTCTGTTGGGAGTGTATACATGAAATTTTAATTTGAATGTGATGCATGGTAGATATTTGAAGATTTTAAAATATCTTTGTTCATAAATGTCATAAGACTTCTATGATCCTACTTTAATTATGTCTTTCATTACAGTTGTTATAAATCTGTGCCACTGCAGCAAGTGTGCTGGACTAAATGTGTCGCCTTTTTTCAGATTAGGCATATCTGCAGTAGGACTGTAAAAAATCTCTGCTTAAGGTAGCATATGTTTTGCTCATTGAGTAAATCCTAGCACGGATTGCTGTTCTGGGGAGTTTCTCTCACCACCAACGGCTATGGGAATCTAGGAAGAAAGTAGCAAACAGAATGCTGCTGATTTTGGTCAATAGGGTTTGACGGGAAGAGATGTGAAGGGGGGAAGATGATGGTATTCTGTATTTATGCTACATTTCTCTTATTTACAGAATCAAAATCAAATGGTCTTCAAGGTAGATTGGCTGCTTGGTCTCAATGTAGTCACTCATTCTTATGCACTCAGGTCAGCACTGAATTGCAATGTATTGATACTTATGTTGTCTGGTAAATACAGTAAGATGTTGATAGGCTCTGAAACTCTTGTGAATTCTCTTGGGTCATCCTTTACACTTCTCTCCTGCTTAAGTAATTTAGGCATAGATCATTCAACTATTTGAGATGGCATGCATTTATGAGGATTTGAACCTGGGATTGGGAGTTGTTTATTAAACAGAGAACAAAAGCATCCTTTTATAGCCTTGCATTTTGAAGGGGAATAGGATTTGGGGTTTAAGTTCTTTGTGAGGAGTTTTATCTGTATTAGAGAGGTAAAAAGGTAAGTTTTCAATTACTTTTGCAAAAATCCTTAATTTTTAGTCTGTCTATCTTGAATTTTTGCCTGTGAGTTTTTTGCTCAGGTTTTCTGAGTTAAGCTTAGGTGAAACTGGAGAAAAACATTTTCCAACATTTTTGAAAGAACTGTCTTCCGAAACAGCTCTACTTTACATAACCTTATTCTCAAGTACAATCTGTAGTATTTTGGGAAGTAGGCGTGTACCAAGGAGTTCTAGAGTATGTGGATGAATGCTGCCTTTTCTGATGTTGTGCAGCAGGTTTTATATTACATCGCTTTTTTTTTTCCCAGTGTAATTCTAACATTTTTTCTATTTGCCTTATTTAGGCATAAAGGAAGTTATTTTTATGTCTGACAAGTATCATGACACTACGGAAATGACAGCTGCACGGCGGATGTTTGATTTAGCAGGTATTATATACAGGTAAGAGAACTTTGGATTAACTTCATTTTTATTTTGGAAAGGAAGAAAATGGGGTGTGAAAGACCATCTTCAGGGCAAAAGTTCTTGTTTGCATCGTGCAGCGTTTTACTCTTTGGTGATGTTTGTAGATGGCTTACTCTACATGCCTGCAAAAGATACTGGATTGACAGACTGTTGCACCATTCTTTTTGCCTTGTGTATGATTAAATTTCAATTTCATAATGTTTGGATGAGAAAATGGTCCATTTGGGATATTAATTTCACTCCTGGACTGCAGGTGAAATTGTGAATGTAATGGTTATCTGTTATATTGTACTCGAGAGAGTCATTGATGACCCTGCTTTGAGCAGGAGTTTAGACTAGATGACCTCCTGATATCCCCTTACAACCTGAGTTATCCTATGATCCTATGAGTTGGACTGAAATGACCAACTGATTTTTTTTTTTTTTTTTTTTTTTTGTGCATTACTTGATCCTTATTGAAAGTTTGGTATCTTTTTGTTGCAGTCAATTTGGAAAGGTAGCAAACCAGGCACCCATAATTAATTCTTGGTGCATATAGCTGCCCAGTCTTCTTTGGTCAGCTGTTCTTGAGAGAAAAGGATAAAACTTGGAATATGTGCCTTAAAGTAATAAGAATCTGAAAAATGTTTGAAGAGTGGCGTTTTTAAAGACACTGACAGAGATACCTAAAGACAATCTGTTCAACAGCTAGTTTGATAGCAATAACATGCTGTGGGTGAGGCTAATGATGCAGTCAGGGAGGCTTCGCAACTCTAAAAAGTTTTACAATATTAATAAAAGACTTCAAAAAATTTGCAAACATAACAATTGTGACAGATAAAATTTTAGGATGAAAGGTACCTACTGGGCTAAGAAACATCCATGAAAAAACACAGCAGTACTTGAAATTCAGTTTTAGTCCTTCAGTGTATTTCCTGTCTACTAAGAATATTTGACTAAGAAGCATAAATCATTCTCTTGCAAGTCAAATCTTGTAACTTCTCCAGGGTGAGAAATGTTTCTTGCATTTCAGATTGCTATTCTGGACAAAGTATTGAGTTTCTGTGGTCAGCAGCATGTGCTTTTCTGTGTTGACTGTTATTCATGCTTGTATTGATTATTAAGGATGTAGGTGGTACTTAATGAATCTCTTGAACTGAACTGCAGAGCTTAATTAGGCACTAAATCCACACTATTTGCATAATCCTTTGTTTACTGGTAGACTGGAAAATATATGCTCAGTCCCCAAATACCTTCCTTGCTAATTGCTGTAGCAGATGCTCTAATGATAATAAAAGGAAACATTTTGTGGCAGTATTAATTTTACAGTTCTAAAGTTACAATTTTTAAATGTTTCCCTCTTAACTAGTTTGTTTTTTCCCCAGTATGATGTATAATGTGATCTGTTCCCCTAGTACAAAAATATTTTAATGTACTGAGGCAAAATTTGAAAGTGTTCTTTGAAAACTTGGCAGGAAAAAAGTGGTAAAAATATTTATCAAAATATATTCCAACTATCATCTATATATACATACATACATGTGACATATAATACATATAAGTATATAAATATTTTTATAGACAAATATATGTGTACCTATATCTGTAAATATAGCTATAAATATTTGAAATATAAATATATATGAACAAAAATCCCAGCCCTGGTAACATGATGCCAACCACCTGCAGCTAAGTTGTTAAAAGTCCTTTGACTCCTGGGTAATTTATGAACTCCGATAGCCGAAGAATGTACAGGCTAACCCACCCCATGTGTCTTTTTTGTCTTAGTCTTTCTTGTCCAGGTTTCTCTCAGTGTGGTGCACTATAATTGGCTCCCATAGTGATGAAAACTATGTGAATCCAGGGAGGGTTTTTTTTTATTCCTGCAAAAATTTAGCTGGACCTAAAGCAAGCAAAATGTTTTAACTACTCAGTAATTAATATCTGTGTTTTTCTTTATTTTAGGGAATTCAAGCCAAAGTGTAACAAGATCATCATTGACTTTGATTCAATTAACAGCAGACCAAGTCAAAAGCTTCTGTGAATTAAGTTTCATTAAGTCTCTAGAAGACTGTGATTATCCTTTTCTAAAAAGCTGCTAATGCCTTTCATCTTGAAGTTACTTGCAACTTTTTAATGGCTTCTGTAGCTTAAAGTAGACTTCTAAGAAATCCAAGGCATAAAATGTCCCACTCACTTCATCTTGTCATGTGGAATCTAAATCTACTTAAAATTTTTTAATGCCTTCATCGAAACTGCTTAAAAAGTCTAGAGACATGTAGATGAGACAATATAACGTATGTAAAAAAAACTGTTCTGACTCCAGCTGTATGCATCACCGCATGCTCTGATAGGCTGTCAGCATTGATTCAGACAGTTTAATAGTAGTACTTATTGTAACCAGTAGAACAGTGGAATACGCTAATATACGTTGATTTCTCTGTTGGATATGTGGATCTAAAGAGCTGATTCTAATGAAGGACAAAAAATGTTATCTGTGCAAATACTAATCTTCCAACTAGCATAACACTAATATTTTAAAAAGGTTATACAGCTTAAAGAATGTGTGATATTCTGCGTGCATTATCCAACAAATGAAATACTGATTTTTCTTTTAATTGCTAACACTGCCATACGTGGACAGTGATGAGAGAGGAGGTTGTTCTGAGAAAGGTCTGTGCTAGACCGAGCTTTACAGGTGCCTTCAAGTCGTTTTTTCTGAGACTCCAGAATTGGACGCGGTTGAGGGAGTGAATCATTTGCCTCTTTACCTTTGAGACTCTTAGTTGGAGTTGGTTTTCATGTGTAGAAGTAAATTATTTTATTGGTCTAAGCTGTTTCTAGACAGTCCAATGTAGTTGGATCTTAAAATCAACCTATAAGGTAACTGAATCATTTTTTGTCCTCTGAGAGAAATTGGAGATAGTCAACTCATATCCATATCTGTGCCAAAAGAGGTAATTATGGTGTTAGCTTGTTCCCCAGTGCTGGCGTACTACCTTCATTTTCATAAATGCTGCCTAAAATAATATCCTTTTTAATTTTATCTTGAGATCTGGGAGTAGATTTGAGTTCCTTTTCTCTTAATTTGATTTTTTTAAAATTAAATATGCCTAATGGCTTTGTATAGATAACATTGGTGGTGGTTATTTTTTTTTTTTTTAATGTGGTTATACTTCAATGAGCTTTTATTTTCTCTATAAAAGCTTTGTTTCATATTTTGGGACATTATGTAATTTGGCTTCATACCAATGTTATTAAAGTCTTATTAAAATCCACTACATTGAAGTAGACTCATTATTATAATATTAAACCATGTGCTTGGCTCCAGAGTGCTGCTGTTTTTGCAATCATATGCAAAGCATATTTTGTGCATTTGTGATATTACATAAAGTGTAATGTTCATGAACCATTTGGCTACTAAAGGGAGCATTGTAATGTATTATAAGATGTGTCCATTTATAAAGCAATTTCTGACTTCCTCTTTTTTTTCTACAAGTGCTTTCCACCTCGAAATTGGTCTGTAGTTTACTGCCAGAAGTAGTTGTTTGCACATATGTGGAGGGGGAGGGTGAAACCTGAAAAATTACTTTAATAAAATGTCACTAAAGCAGCTTATGCACTTTTTCTTTGGCCTGAACTGATAAGTAGAAGCATTTTGAGTTATACTGGTCTGACAATGGGACAGAGGGGAGAGAAGAAGCAGAATTTTTGGTTTTGGCAGCAAATTTACTGTTTTCTTCATAGATAATTGCTGATCTAAGTTCAGACTTAAAGATATGCATTGCAATTCTGGTTACTTTTAAGTATTTTTATGTGAGGCCTTGGATAATGGGAATGTATAATGTGCATAAAAGCTCAGGAGTTTTTTGAACCGAAGTCCAGGTGTTTTTAGGAATGTACTATTTTTTATAACGACTCTTTTCCCCAGGACTTTCCTGTTTGTGTAACAAAAGAGCAGTACTGGAGAATATGGTAGGATTTTTTATTTCTTTCGATCAGGGTTTTGATGA